TTGCCTCATCAGGCGTGCAATAGATTTACAATTTTCATAAACATAATATATATACTATTTACATTTAACAGATTACATTTAACAGGTTACATTTTGCAATTTACATTTAACAGATGATAGATTTACAATTAACTTCTAAGATAAAATATAAAAAAAAAATGCTTATATATGTAAGTATAATAAAGAACACGATATTAACTCTTAAAATTATAGAATTCATTTACCGTATAAAACGTATGTTCCACCAACCAGTTTTTTAGATTATGTTTGAATTTGGGTCCTTTTATTGTTTTAATACTATTGGGTAAGTGATTAAATACTTTAATTGCTGTTATGTATGCACTTTTGTCAAACAATTTATTTTTAATTTGAGGTAGATATAAATTGTTTTCGTAGCAAGGGCGTAGATTTTGCCGTTTTGAAAGTTTCGTTTCGAATAAATCGCAATTATTTGTAATAAATAGGCACAACTCTAAGATATATATTCCAGTTAAGTTAAAAAACGTTTTTCTTTAAATAAATTCCTCAGGCTGTCTCTATTTGTTTTACGGTATATGATGCGTAAACATCGTTTCTGTAGTATAAACGTTTCATTTATGTTGGTTGAATTACCCCAAAAAATTATACCATAGATTAACAATGGATAAATATAACCACAGTACGCATTTCTACTAACAGATTCAGAGGTTGACCAAGAAAGTATTGAAAGAACATAGCAATAACTCGATATCTTTTTGTTAATCTTTTCTATGTGTGATTTCCAATTTAGGTGAGAGTCAATTTTAACTCCAAGAAAGCTTATATTATCTACCTCCTCTATGACTGAGCCATCAAATGATATTTTTAAATGGATTGGTTCGGTCTTGTAATTTCTAATTTGAAGAATTTTAGTTTTAGGTACATTAATTGTTAGGTTTACAGATTTTAACCAGGACACTATGTCTTTTACGGACTTATTAATTTAACTTTCAAGTTCTGAACTATTTATTAGCTTACTAGTATAAAAGACTGTAGCATCATCAGCAAACATTATTGTTAAATGCTTTGTGATTTTAAATATCTCGTTGATATATATTAAAAATAAAGAAGGACCGAGTATACTTCCTTGAGGTACACCAATGTTGACTTTTTTAAATTTTGACTTAATTGTTTCAATAGTTGTAGTATTACTATTATACGTATTCAAAATAGTTGCCTGATATCGATCTTCAAGGTACGATTTAAATAATTTTAGAGCAATTCCGCGAATGCCAATGTTTTCCAATTGTTTCAGTAAAATTTCATGATTAACACAATCAAATGCTTTTGTCATATCTAAGAAAAGGGCAAAACATGGATTTTTTTCGTTTATGTCATTCCAAATATGTTTCATTATTTTAAATATAGCTAATGACGTGTTTTTACCTTTTTGAAATCCATATTGATTAGGATTAAAATTTTATTTACATTAATGAAATTCATGACTTTATTATAAATAACTTTTTCAAAGATTTTGGAAAAGCTTGGTAGTAGTGCTATGGGTCTGTAATTATTTGGGTCTTGCTTCGGTCCTTTTTTGTAAACAGGCTTTATAAGAGCAATTTTTAGGTCATTTGGAAATGTACCCGTTTCTAACATTAGATTTATGATATAAATTATTGGTTCTGAAATATGCTTTAAAGGTTGTTTTATTAAATACATTGATATATGATCGTAGCCAAAAGATTTTTTCGGTTTTATTTGTTTAACTATTTTACTGACATCATTTATGTTGATCGGTGATAAGATAATACTGTTGCAATTAAATGAGTTATTTAAAGTTTTATAAAATCCAACATTAGAATTTTGATAATTACGTGTAAGAAATAAGTTATTAAAAATTTCTACCATTTCATTTGGCTCACTGACTATCAACCCATTAACTTTTATATTTTTTATGGTGTTTTCTATTGAATTGGTGTTATTTTTTATCAAGTTCCATGTAGCTTTTGTTTTATTAACACTAGATTGTATATATTTTATATTAGACCTCCTTTTCGATTCAACTATTACCGCTTTCATTATTCTACAATATTCCCTATATTTACTTGTCTTAGCAAAATATTTATTTTTTAACGTTTTTAGATATAGTTTCCTTTTGTTTCTACTGGATATTTTTATTCCTTCCGTAAGCCAATTAAGTTTATTTTTTTGTATAATTTTAATCCTCTTAAGGGGAAAACTTAGGGTAAAGATCAAGTTAAATGTATTAAAGAATGATTTATATGCCAAGTTTACATCCTTTTCCTCATAAACTTCTCTGAATCCAATTTGGGATAAGTACTTTAGAAATATCGGTAGATTGGAATCTATATTTCTGTTATAAATGAACCAGTGTTTTTCCCCAAAGTTATATCTACATGCAATACTAATTAATTGCGCAGTATGGTCTGATAATCCCAAATTAAGTACTTGAGATTCATACTTATTAGCATTTGTTATTATGTTGTCTATACAAGTTGCAGAATAAGCCGTAATTCTAGTTGGCTCTTGTATAGTAAGATGTAGATTGTATTTCCTTAGAGTTGTAATAAAGATACTTCTTCTTTTGCTATTAGCTAACGTGTCTATATTAAAATCTAATAATATTAATCTATTTTTATTGTTACTTAGACGTACCATTAGTTTAGCAAGTAAAATTTCAAGTTTTTCGATAAATATGTTAAAATCGCTGTTAGGGGTTCTTAGGGGTTCTATATATACATACAACAATCAGATTTAATTCACTAATAATTATACGACAACTTTCAAAATGATTATCAATTGACAGTTGATTTAAGTAATCTATATTTTTGGAATCTATATTACTCCTTGTGTAAATGCAAACTTAAGTATTCGGTATTCAGTTGAATAGTACCTAGATATTCAGTATTCAACCTAATGGTATAAAAGTAGCCGAATAGGCCGAATAACAAGTGATAGCAAAATATTCGTTGCAAGTCTGATTGTGAGCAAATATGTTACAAAATAAATATATTACAACAGCCATTAAGTTTTTCTAATAATTAATCACTGTAAATATTTCGTAATGTGTAGGTTATTGTTAAAGTCAACTAGGCATAATACCTTGTAAATTTATATTTGTGTTAGTATTTACTATGTTAGTTTTAACAGTTCATCACATAACTTGAAAATAATTTTGAGTTGTATTGTACTCTTTAAAATGTTATATGCATTATCATTATTACTATATAAATGTAATTATAATTAACCATTCTTTAATGATATTACTAATTTTTAAAGTCTTTAATTGTGTAATCATTGCATCACTTAAATCAAGTAATACATATTGTACTAATGGAGAATGCAGATGTTCATTTTTAATTTATAAATATACTAGCAGTTGGTCTCATGATTTCTTCTCGACAATAGCGCCACCTACCAAGTCCTATTGTGAATTTAAACAATTGTTGAATCATCAATCACACAAAATTTCATCGAAATAACAAAGAAGTTTTATATATATATATATATGATGTAATGAGATGTGTGATGCCTTGGAGGCTATGCTGGAGCTAACACCGCTTCATCTACATATACAACAAGAAGCAACTTTAGCTGCCATTAGACTCAAGACCCTAAATCTTTTAAGTAAGAGTAGAGTCCCCCATACAGATATAATTGATAGAATTTACTCAAAAATTCCTATCTTACAAGCCAAGTATGATAGGATCCCAAAACAATTTGTATTCGATAAGAAGTACAGGATACAATTGAAGGAAACTGACCATTTGGAAGGATTGGGTCCAAGAGAGCTCAAAGTTTTCACAGATGGTTCTAAGACAAATGAAGGTGTGGGGTCTGGGGCTTTCTCTGAAGACCTTAATATCCACATATGGACACCGCTGGGTACCCACAACACAGTCTTCCAAGCTGAATGCATGGGTATCATCCAAGCGGCCATAGCAATAGATGCTAGGAAGGTGAAAGACTTCTCCATCAGAATACTGACCGACAGGATGGAGGTACTACAAGCTCTGAGTTGCAATGTGACGAACTCGGGACTGATATACGACTGCCATCAACAATTGAATGAGGTATGTAAGCACAACAATGTGACTCTGCAGTTGATCAAGGGACACAGTGGATCTAGAGGCAATGATGCAGCAGATGAACTGGCCAGAAGGGGATTGGCTCTGGCAATTATAGGGCCGGAACCTATAATACCAATCCCCTTAGGCTATGTTCGTTCACTGGTACGTAGATACTTCAATAATTTACATGCTCAACTTTGGAAAAATTTAGTAGACTGTAGACAAGCTAGAGAGGCCCTGTCTGAAATAAACAGTCGTCTAACCAAGGTTTTAATGAGACTGAACAAGCCACAGATGAGGATAGTAACAAGTGCTATCACAGGACATGGCTCTTTTAACAAACATTTGTTCACCATAGGTGTTACTGATAGCCCACTGTGCAGGGCATTCATGGGAGAGGAAGAAACGGCGGCTCACATGTTGCTTACATGTCCAGAAGTCACTTCATACAGGGCTAAACATCTCGGCACGCCGGGATCGCTCCCCGAAGTTGCTTGCAACATCAAAGGACTGTTCAACTTCTTCAGGGAAATATCATGGCTCGAATAACCACATTATTCCTGCCCACATGCAAAATACGCGCTTAGACGTGGAGTTGCGGAAAACAGCCCGTCGTAAACTAAACTAATTATGCATGATGTATTTGTAAAAAAAATTATTTATAAATTGTTGTGTATTACTTTCTGTCATTAGTGGTATTTAAGCAAAGTTGATACTGATTTTTAAAATGTATAGTTTTGAACATTGGAACTATCATTCTGTAAGCTATATAATTTAAAGTTGCTTGTATATAAATGTAACAGCATATTAATTTTCAGTTACAAAATTAAGCCATATGTTTTCAGACTGAAAATCAAACAATGAAATGGTTCTATGTTGACCTCAAATTTAATAGTTTTACAAATGTAAATTACTGTAATTATGTATGTAATTGAATTTTTTTTTCAGCACTGGCAACCACCATTTGCTGTCGATGTTGATAGACTACGATTCACGCCTAGAATACAACGCTTGAATGAATTAGAGGTAAGATTTTTTAAAATAATTTCATAATACATTTATGTAAATGTAGTTGCAGTTGTAGTGGTAGCTAAGCTAAGCAGTCCTGGTTAATTTCATGGTATGACAGGAAACACAAAGAGTTTTGCAAAAAAAATGTATGGGAAACAGTTAAAATTCATGTTGAAAATACGATTAAAATTCATTAAAAATCATTACAAGTAAAAATACGAAAATTCTAATTTCAAATTTACTTCCCCATTTTTTTCAAGTTAATTTTTTTTTATAGGAGAGGGGGCAAACGAGCATACGGCTCATCTGATGGTAAGTTATTACTGCCGCCCATGAACAACTGCAACACCAGGGGAATTGCAGATAAAGTTTTCTAAATGACTCCTAAAACCGGACCAATCGTTCGATAGACTTTAAATAGAATTTATGGATTAAGGCCACTCTATGTACTAGACATCAAACAGCATTTATGTTAGATAGACTTCAAATAGTATGTCTGTAGATAGACTTCAAATATATTTATAATTTATTTATGGATTAAGCATTTATGGCCTTTTTAAGGCCCTTCTTAAGCAACCAAGTATTTCTGGTGTAACAAATTTTAAGCACGGTCGACTGACTTTGAGAGATGACAAAGGAGTGGTTGGTTGACCTTTGACAGCTGTTACAAAAGGAAACGTGCTAGCAGTGAGGAGCTTTATTCAAAATAATCGACGAATTAGTAAGAAGATATTTAGCACATATTGCAGAATCGATCAGGAAGTGCTCGAAATTTTTTACACTTAAGTTCCTCACCGATGCCCTGAAACAGGTCCTCGTGAATAATAAGTTATAAATAATAGTTCCGTTAATAATTTTGCAGCAGGCTCGTCTCGGTGTGTTAGGACTTACGATATTACAGATGATGAATTTAATTTATCAATACGATCTAGAAATTAATCGCCTTGATAAATTAGGAGAAATAATTTTTATCGCCTTAATAAAACGCGATAAAAATCTGCAAAACTTCAAATGTGTAGCGTTTGCATAAATGTAAAAAATCAAGAAGTCATTAATGTACTTTAATTTGTGATGTTAAATCTATTATTTTTTGTATCAGGCGATCACTCGCGTGAAGTTGAACTTCTTGGACCAGATCATCAAGTTCTGGGAGTTGCAGGGTTCTGTTCTCAAGATACCTACTGTTGAACGGAAGCCGCTGGATTTATATGCATTGCACAAAATTGTGAAGGAAGCAGGTGGGTTATGCATATTTTTTAATCTTCTCCTTTTACAGTGGTTAGGTTACTGCACACATGAGATTCTTCTAATAACGGGGCTATTTTTATTTGAAATCTTAGTATAAAGCGTAGGAAGTAGGAACTTTCATCATCATCGTCATCACAGCCTTTCACGAATCCGCTGTCGAACATAGGCCTCACCCAAGAAACGCTACAAAGCACGATCCTGAGCCACCCGCATCAATCGACTTAATGTGTATCTTATCAGCTCGTCACTCCATTTTCGTTTACCGGTACGAGGAAATTTATGTATATTATATTGATATTAAGTTGAGAATCTGAATTCGCGTGGACACTCTAGTTTGAGATATGAGAGTGAAACGAAATTGGTAGTTCATCTTATTTTCAGACCCCATCAGTGGACATGCATTTTGTTCTATTCAAGAAATGACTAATTTAATGACACTCCATGAATATTAGTTTTCGTGTTATAATTTCATTGAATTATATTTATTCTGCTTTAGTATATCAATGCTGCTCGTATTGAAACTTACATACTTGAACGAAGGCCGTTCGTTTCAATATATACATGTGGAAATGAAATAACATTAAATATTATATACCAAATGATGGATTGCAGCGCCACTGAATTTCTTCCTTGTAAAACACATGATGTAAAATTGATGCCATCAAAAACATAACTTGTAAAAAAACCAAGTCTCGCAACTCAGTTCTTCTACCGTAAAAAGGTGTGAAATCCATGTAATACCAAGTCGGTTAATTTATTTAGTCCTTACATATGGGTCCTTCTGTTTTAAGTTATAACGTAATTAGCTAACCTAACAACATTTTATAGTTACCATATCAATGTTAAAAAAAATCTTTTATGGTTTAAATATATAGATTGACTAATTGTTAATTTATTTTAATATGAATCTAAATTGCTCACTGTTATAATTATTTTAAAAGTAATGTGGTTTGATCATTAATGATCAAAGCAAAGAGCAATAACAAATATATGCTTAAAAATGCATAAAAATAAAAAATAAATGTGTACTTTTTGCCCCTGAAATGCTCAAAAGTATTTGCATCTTTTTTGGGAAAAATACTATATTTGTTTAAAAAAAAGGTGGCAACCTAATTGGTAACCCCAGTTTTAATTGTTATATGATATTGTTATCAGGAAAACGCTTCTGACCATCTTCTATTTCTGTTTCCGTCTGTCTTCCGTGCATCTTACTACAGCTACGTGATAATATGGGTCAATAGGTATTCTTACGCCGTCACTACATGTACAAACTAAACTAATTAATTATAACACGTTTAATTTCACTTATTTCAAAAGAATTCTCGACGTCTTGATGCCATCTTGATTATTTACAGTCAACTTATTTTTTTTTAATCCAACTCAATTTAACTTTATTGTTTATAATGTGTGTAACCCCTTTTTTATTTAAAAATTGGTGCTTCTCATGTAGTCCCATATCAATTTGATTAAGACCTGACCGGTAGTTTTCGAGTTATCCTTAATAATGCGTATTTAATTGACTTTGACTACATTGATGATGTTCTCATTTTATTTATATTGAAGCCCGTTGTACAAAATTTTTCATTTTAACACTTGTATAGAATTAGGGTGACAAATTAATGCCTTGTTTCCAGTGAAACCAGTCTTTGATTCTCTACACTCATTTTACGAAACAAAATACAAATGAAAAACAAAATAATAGCTTGATGCTGCTGTGTTTCGTATGGTGAGCGTAGAGAACCGAAGACTCTTTTTAGTGGAAACGAGGCATTCCATCTTAGTCCTCATCGGTGACAATGTACCTATTTGCATTTTGATACTTAATTGAGAACAAATGTAGATGTCTATGGATCACAGCATCCACTATCAGGTGGAATGTGTGCTCGTTTTTCTCCCTAATTATATATATAAAAATTTTTTTTTGCAATAAAACCGACAAAGTTCAATCTATCTATATAAAACAAAAATGTTTCTACCTATGTCACTTTGGATCCATCCCACCGATGTGCCCCAATTCGGTTTCATTGGGAAGGCAATAATTAATAAACGGTTTTAGATCATTTAAATAAAATAAAATAAAACAAAATCCAACAAATAAACAAACTGTATTTCTTATTTTAGCGTAGCACACGCCGGGTATACGCCAATAAAGAATATCATATTTAGTAACAATGTCAGAGGATTTACAAGAGGTTGCTTGAAGTTTACGTGTTTTTTCTGTTACAAAAAGTAAAAAAAATGCATGTAAAAATATTCTTTACATAGTTTATACTTGTGATTGTTGTTATTTGTAATTTCATCTTCATTTTTGTGATTAGGATTTATACGTGTACTTGTTACAAATAATTACTGTCGTTGTTTAAAATAAATAGAAACGAGTATAGCTGACATCCAAATCACAAAAATACTTTACTACTTTTGGAAAGACGCATTTGTAGTTCCTCTTTCGAAAAAGTCAAATCCCTCTAGTTTTTCTGATTATAGACCTATCTCTGTTTTGCCTTTCTTTTCCAAAGTTCTAGAACGTCTTGTGCACAATCAATTAAGCACCTATCTTTTAAAACACAATCTTTTAAATCCCTTTCAATCCGGTTTCCGTCCTGGCCATAGTACGACTACTGCACTTTTACAAATCACTGATGATATTCGGTATGGTATGGAGAAACAAAAGCTTACCATTCTCACGTTGCTTGAGTTTAGTAACGCATTTAATACTGTAGATTTTGATATCTTGTTAAGCATTCTACGCTCTCTCAACATATCTCCAATTGTAGTTGACTGGTTTCGAAGTTACTTGTTTGGTCGCCGACAGCGAATTCAGGTGCAAGAAGTTTTTTCCACCTGGACTACTACAGCTGCTGGTGTACCACAAGGTGGCGTGTTGTCTCCTCTACTTTTTGCAATTTTCATTAACTCTATAAGTCATAATTTGTCCTCTTCCTACCACTTGTATGCTGATGATCTCCAAATCTGTACTCAGTCCTCTCTTGAAGATCTATCTAAAGCAGTTGACACTATTAACGCTGATCTGACTTGTATTTCGAATTGGACTAAATGTTATGGTTTAACGATTAATCCTAAGAAAACTCAGGTCATTGCCATCGGTAGTTCTAGATTAATTGGTAAAATTGACTGGTCTTCCCTACCCCCTATCATACTAGACCGCACTCTAATCCCTTACAGTAACAAGGTTAAAAACCTGGGGTTGTATCTTGACTCCTGTATGTCTTGGACCTCACAGGTTAATGAGGTCAGTAGAAAAATGTTTGCTGCGTTAAGCTCTTTACGTAGATTACGTAATTTCCTTCCCACAGCAACTGAAGTTACGCTCGCCCAGTCTCTACTTCTGCCTATCCTTGACTATGCTGATATTTGCTATCTTGACATTACCGAGGAGCAGCTTAATAAGCTTGAGCGCATTCAAAATTTATGCATTAGATTTATATTTGGGCTTCGCAAATATATATGATCATATCTCCGAATTTCGCAAACAGCTGAAATGGCTCCCGATCCGCCTTCGCAGGAATACTCACATTATCTCCGCATTGTATAGTGTGCTGTTTAATCCTTCCACTCCTCTTTATTTAAAATCTTTCTCTTACCTATAATCGGTTCCTTCGATGACGGAGGATCTTTCTCTCTGCACCTTTGCACTCTTCTTCCTTTTTCAAGAAATCCTTCACCGCAGTGGCGAAACTTCCATTAAAACCGAAAAGCTGGGCTTGCCTTATTAAACCTGAATCAATCAATAATATCAACTAATAAAATAACTCGTAAACTGTTTCAAACTATTTCAAATTTCCCGCGCACTCCACTGTTCGACACAGGTTGACCGATGACCTCGTATTGCCATAGCGATACTGCTGCTGTCATAAAAAATGAGTTTTAATAGAGCTAATAGTTGTCTCCCTCGCTCGCGTGGGCTTTTTACGGGGCTTTCGAGAAGACGATCGCTCTCTTTCTAACCTATGGCATAATATTCTATAATGAAATATAACTACGATTGTATATATAGCAATTAGTATAGAGATTTAAAGCCAGGCTTTTGGGAATAAATTTGTTAAAAGCGGAGGCGCGCGGGCAATACGTTTGCAAGTTCATGTCACGTTTCAATGTTTATTTACTCTGTGTGCTTATCTTAAGCGATTTAATATTACGAGTTCAAAATGTATGCTTTTTTAAATATTTTTAATGAAAATGGAGGATAATAGTGTTCCTTGTGATGAATTGAAGTGTGTTAAAGTGATAATCGGAGAGGAAATCTTTAAACTTTGTTGAGATAATACACAAGGTTAAGAGTGTATTTGAGACTTATCAATTATCGCAATTAAAAACAGTTATTGGTACAATTAAAACGTTCACCAACATTTTACGTGGACGTAATTAAATCGTTCAATAAGAAAGCGAGACGATTCCACTTATCTTATCTTATCTCTTATCCATTAGAATGTAAATAATTTTTTTTAATTTTGTACATAGTTTGTTTGTACTTTGTTCGTGTTTTACTTTTGTTCATGTATTGTATTGGATGTAAATATTTTTTTTCTTTTGCTTAAACAAACCCAAACGGCTTTCTTCAAAGCCACCGAAGCTATGCAATTGCTGATATGTAATACAATCTATCTAGCAGTGGTATGCCTTCTGTGTGCTTTGTTAAACACGTCCTTGACAGCACTGAATATGAAACTGAAGCGTGGAGACAGATCAAGATTGGTGTATTTTTATAAAACTGCTAAAAACAACAATCTATATTTTTATCAATTTATATCTTGGGCTTGCCCTAGCTTGGAGCTCTAGCTCGCGACTGCTTCACCGTAACCGCTGTGCGATTGTAGAACTTCTTACCTCTCCATATTCGTCGTGCTAAATCTCTTCACTCTTTCAAAAGTCTTGTTAAATCGTATTATTTAGAACGCTATTAGATAAATTACTTTACTTCCTACTTTTCATTTAATCTTTTCATTTAATCTATTATATGTTTTATATATAA